CGGGCCGCGAGGGGCAGCGCCTTTCTAACTGTGCCTGCCTGGTTGTCTTCCTTGTGTTTAAGGGCGTTACCATTGTGAAGCCGATCGTGTACGGGAACGTCGCGCGGTATTTTGGGAAGAAGAGGGAGGAGGATGGCCACACTCACCAGTGGACGGTGTATGTGAAGCCGTACCGGAACGAGGTATAGCCGGGCTGCTCAGGGAAGGGGGGTCAGGCATTGGAACAGCGGCCCGGGGAAGTTCGGGAATCGCCATCCCTGGGAGTGTTCAAAACGCGTGTGGATGTGGCACCTAGGGCCGTGGTTTAGTGGTGGCCCTGGCAGCGCTGGGTTAAGGTGTTAGAGGTGTTTTCCAGCCCAAGCCATGCCCTGTGCCGTGGGGAGCGCGGGCAGGGTAATGCCAGGCGAGCAGCACTGGAACGGGCCGGGGTCTGAAAAGTTGGGCTTTGAGAAAAGGGCAGAAAGGCCTTGTGGCATAAGCAGAGGAAACTAACAGGCTGGTGGGTTTCCCAAAGGGGAAAAGATGGGGAAAACATATTTCTTTTTACGGTTTTGGAGTAATTTTTCCAGGTTAGCGGAGAGAGTGGAGAGCATTTAGGGGGACCAAATACTGACAGACCTGTGTGCTGGTACTAATTTTTGGATTCACCATTTTGCTTTCCATCTGTGTTTAAACTCAGAAGAAATACTGTGCTTGTGTCAGAAGGAATGGTAGGCATGTAGGATAGATGACTAAAGAGTAGGTTGGTGTGCTGTATGAATAATCAGAAATACCAATGTTTCTGTTTTAGGACATGTCTGCCTATGTGAAAAAAATTCAGTTCAAGTTGCATGAAAGCTATGGTAATCCTTTAAGAGGTAGGTTTTGTATTCGGGCATTTGTTCCTAGAACTGGGCTTTTGTTCCAGTTTTTTATTCCTTTTGTTATTCCACTGAGGCTCTGTCATTGGGTTAACACTTCTGTGTTTCCTACTGCAGTTGTTACCAAACCACCATATGAAATCACCGAAACAGGCTGGGGTGAATTCGAAATAATCATTAAGATATTTTTCATTGATCCAAATGAAAGACCTGTAAGTACATTGAACTTTTAACAACACTTAAATAATTATTATGGTAGCCTAAAGCTGTGCTCTAGGATATTGCTGGTCAAAATAAGTCACATCGGCCTTGGAAGTAATAAAGCCTGTTCTTGTAGAAAGTGAATGTAATGACTGGCCACATTTTCCTGTTTCTGTGCTTTGCTACAGGCATTCATGATTGCTTTTCCTGCACTTGGCTTCACTCACATTTACTAACGTGTGACTGCATGTTGCACCTTACTTGGTTTGAGCACGCGCTGAGGCTTTCTCTTCCATGTAGCTTCCTAGTTCTAGGATATATGAATATTTTAACTTTTTTTTTTTTTGTCAGATCAAAATCAGTCAAAAAGCAGTAAAGGTACTATGCTAGCATTAGTTTCTGCCCTAAGGAAACCAGGTTAAGACATTCCTGTAGTTTCATAAAGCACTGGAATTAATTTTTCTTTCCTTCCTGCGCTTTAGACGTATCTTGTAGGTTTGTTTATACAGGTTTAGGTAGGAAACTCGATTACCCTGTTTTAGGGGAAGAGGATGTTTATTTCTGAAGGACTGAGTTACTTCTGTCGCATGAACTGCAGCAATCCTTTTCTATATCTACTTTTTGCTAAATGCGAGGGAAACTGAATTTTATATTTTTCTTGAATATGTGACGATTGATAGAAAGGGCTTCTTGTGCTGTTGTACTCAGTAGCATTGTGACTTGTCATCCTAATTCCATTCACAGCTTGACCAAGCTGTCCTAAAGTTGGTTGGGTGTTTTTTTCTTTGCTGCTGTTCTTGGAAGGCTGTTTCAGAGCCTGTCGTGTTCTTCCTTTCCAGGAAGTACCAAGTGGAGTAAGGTATTGTTCTGTTCCAAGACCACTCATGGGGCCTGTTTGTGGAAGGAGTGAACTGTGGGCTGTGTCCTTTACCCAGGCCATGATCCAAGTGGTTAGTGGTTCCTCAGGGCTGGACAGAGGGCTTCCATTCCTCTCCCCACCTTGCCATGTGCAGTGCAGTAATGGAAGAGTAACTTCATAAAGAGAGATTTCAAGGAAAAGCTATTCACAGCCCCCCCGGTGTTTCTCTTTCACGAGAAGGGATGATAAGGTCACAGAAAGCACTTTCTAAGTGATGAATTGGGAAAGTTGGCTTGAGTTAAATCACCAATTTGGAAATGTTTGAGAGAAGGTGGTAGTAGTAGTAGCTTTTATACAACAGTCCTAAGCCACTTGCCCAGACACTTTTAAAGTATCAAGAATCCTTTGGCTAGTTTGCATGTTTTAACAATTAATACTGAATATAAGTAATTCCACTGAAGCTATATGACATTTATTTTTGCATTCCTAAAAGAACAAATGCTACTTGTTGATATCTAGAACAAGATTTCTATTTCCCTACAATTGTTAAGCTAATAAAATTCTGTCTTTGCATAGGTAACCTTATATCACTTACTGAAGCTTTTTCAGTCGGATACAAATGCCATCCTGGGGAAGAAAACTGTAGTTTCTGAATTCTATGATGAAATGGTATGCATGTTTTTAATGTAATCCTCACTTTATTTTGAAGAGTATTAGTGATACTATGTATTTTTCTCCTTCATTAGATATTTCAAGATCCTACTGCAATGATGCAGCAGCTGTTAACAACATCTCGTCAACTAACACTAGGTGCTTATAAGCATGAAACAGAGTGTAAGTTGAAAATTAAAATATTTTAATTTTAGAAATAAACAGTAGTTGGTTTTGATTTTATTGCTTTTCTTTTCCTGGGCTGTAACAGTACAATGGATTTGGATGCTGATAAAAAGTGGTATTTTTACATTAAATTTAACTTCAGCTTTTGCAAAGATATTAATACTTACTTGAAAACTATTTAAGATTTTCTGATCTGTATGCCTGCTGAAAAAAAATTAGGAATTACTCAGTATGAAGAGTGATGGTGTGATCTACACCTAGTTTAACATCTTTGAAATGAGTCAAAACCAAATAAATGAAGGCCACCCTGTGGTACACTTCCGTTCAGCACTGCAAGCAAAGGTCACACTGGAAGCACTGAAATAAGAACAGTTAGTGGTGTTTAAGTCAAAGCAGCAACTCTTTGGAAATAAAGAGTAGTATCTGAAAGCTGTTCCTGTCTTTTTCCCTTCTAGTTCTTGAACTGTAGGTAGTTTCATAACATACTTCTTCAGTAGAGCATTATGTTTTTTGTGTCCTTTTTATCTAATTTGTCTCCAAATATAAACAAAAATATTAAGGGAATTAAATTAAATAAAGATCTATTGGCTCATAAATTATAATACATTTAGTGAGGATTTCTGTTCTGATCTTCTGCATTTCATCTCTTATCTTCTACTCTCAGAAAACAAATGTAATATTTATTGAGCCCAAATCCTACCTTGTTAATTACAAACTCTAATGCCATTGTAGTCCAGCTCACCTGGTCTCATGTTCACCTGACAACAAAGGTCAAGTATTTTTTGGACAGCAAATGCCTGGAGCTAAAGAGTGGAGAGTGATTATGAGTTTGAAGCTCTTCAAAGTTCAGGTTCTGATTTGCCTTATGTCTGCTTGGCTATGTGGATGTGTGAGCTCCGTGTATTTTCTACCTCAGTTTAGCCAGTCTTGAGGTGGATTTTTGTTATATTGCATGTAGTCATGGTTTTCATTTAGAAAATGTTTAATAATACAATTCATAAAAAAGTCTTGTCCACATTTAAACATTTCTGACTTCAAATTTTTGGGTGTTTCTCTGGAGAGTAGATAGAAACTTTTAGTATGTTTTTTGTATATATATTTCCTTAAAATGTGCCACCAAAGTAGATAAAAATTTGCCGCTGCTCCATGATTATGTAATGTATGGGATATGAAGGGATCTCCGTGGCCTTCATAGATTTGTTGGCTTTACCATCTCTGTCCAAAAACTTGTACATGAAAAAATAATAAAAAAAGATACTTGATGTCAGGGATTAGTAGAAGCAAAGGCAGCACCACTATTGTTTAGATATGTAGAATTAAACTCCAGTGAGACAAAGAGTAGAAGGTGGTTACAGTACTTGGAAAAGGAACCACGGAATGGTGGAAATTTGAAGGGACCTCTAGTACCATCATGTCCACCCCCTGCTCAAGCAGGGCCACCTACAGCTGATCCCCCAGGACTGTGTCCAGACAGCTTCTAAATGTCTCCAAAGACGCAGATTCCACAACCTCTCTGGGCAACCTGTGCCAGCACTCAGTCACTTTCACAGTAAAAGTTTCCTGAATTTCAGAGGAACCTCTGATGTTTCAGTTTGTGCCTATGGCCTCAAGTGCTGTCACTAGGCTTCACATACTCATAGTTCTCTCTAATTTCCCATTTGCTGTCACCATGTCAGGTTTTATTTAATCTTAAAAAAACCCTGTAGCAAATGATTTCATGAATTGTGTAACTCCATGCACAAAACTGCTGGGCTGAGGGCTGAATGAAGCCACAAAACAAACTTTCTGAGTTTTTTTAAATCCAGGTTTGTTTTTGGATACCATTTTGATTACAATCATTGAATCTCTAAGGCTAGCAGCAATAGATTTTTTTTTTTCAGGACACACGCCATCAAAATTACTGTTTCAGTTAAAAAAAAATAATTACAACTTTTCATGGTATTTACAATATTTATTTTTCTTTATCACCACCATAGTTGCAGATCTTGAAGTGAAAACCAGGGAAAAGCTGGAAGCTGCCAAAAAGAAGACTAGTTTTGAAATTGCTGAGCTTAAAGAAAGACTAAAAGCAAGTCGTGAAACCATCAACTGTTTAAAAAATGAAATCAGAAAACTTGAAGAAGATGATCAGTCTAAAGATATGTGACAAGTGTGGACTTGATAAAGAGCCTATGCTGAAAATGGGAGGACTTCAGTCATGGAACTGTATGAATTCAATTCTATAACCGAGACTATGAGAATTTCACTGGCAAGTGATTGAAGTTTGTGGCAATCAACTTCATAAATGGAAGAAAAAAGAAAGAATGTATCCTTGTTTTATAGTTAAAATCTGTGGTACTTAACAACTTATTTCAAGTAGAAGGGGTCTCAGAGACCAGACTTACTTTTTTTTTTTTAAGCTGCGTTTGAGTCGTATATGAAAACTTTGTATTAAGTCTTGTGTTAGTTCAATGTTATTTTACGAAATGCTGGTGTTTACTTTTTTTACTTGTTTTTTTTCTACTGATTGTTTAGAGGTGCATCTTTAGAGCTAAAAATAAAATATGCAATTTTTTATTTTAATATATTTTGTCTCCATCCACCTTGTAAATAGCATGCCCTGATTTAAGGCAGAGGTTGAAATACAGTGATACACAAGTTGTTTAAGTCTGGTTACAGTGATTTTGGCATGTCTGTTACCAGCACAGTGAAAACACTTTCTGAAAACAGGATTTTAAATAACTTCTATATCTACAGGTAAGAGTTTCTAGCCTCAAAGATGCTTCAACATATATAAGTGCATCAGTTCTACAAGCTGTGCACAGAAGCAGGAGATTATTCCAGTCCTGATTTGTAGGAGTTTAATACTTGTACTGTACTACAGTCACTTCATCAAACATTGTCTCTGCTGCTTCTTCCTTCTACCACTCTTCCCCTGTTCTGGCATGGGTCCCTCCTACAGAGGACAGTCCTCCATGAACTTCTCCAGTGTCAGTCCTTCCAATGGGCTACTGCTCCAGCATGGGTCCCCTGCAGGGTCACAAGTCCTGCCAGCAAACCTGGTCCAGCATGGGCTCCTCTCTCCCCAAGGCTACAGATCCTGACAGGGCCCTGTTCCAGTGTGGGCTTCTCACAGGGTCACAGCCTCCTTTGGGCATCTACCTGCTTTGGTGTAGGGTCATCCGTGGGCTGCAGGTGAATCTCTGCTCCACCGTGGACTTTCATGGGCTGCAGGGGGGCAGCTTGTCTCACCATGGTCTGCACCACAGGCTGGATGGGAATCTCTGCACCTCCTCCTCCTTCTCCACTGACCTCAGGGTCTGAACAGGTGTTCCTCTCAAATATTCTCACTCCCCTCTCCACTCCTGTTCCCCCCACAGCAGGGGTTTTTTTTCCCTCTTCTTAAATCTGTTACCTCAGAAGCCCTACCACCGTGGCTAATGGGCTCGGCCTTGGCCAGCTGCAGATCTGTCCTGGAGCCATCTGGCATTTGCTCTGTCGGACGTGAGGGAAGTTTCTGGCAGTTTCTCACAGAAGCCACCTCTGTAGTGCCCCCACTACCAAAACCTTACCATGCAAACCCAGTACATATTCTTAAGTCACTAACATGTTTTCCCCCTGAAAAATCAGTACATAATCTTAGCAATGCTTTGAGAACAAAGCATTCATTTCTTCCTATTTGAAACAAGTTTACTTGCTTTTACTGTGTCTTGGTAAAGATTTAGAACTGAATTTAGTTTTTCATCACTCACTATGTAGACTTCAGTTTTTCATTAAGAATAGTAACAAACTTGGCATATTTGGTTTATGGTATGTATAGACATAGATGAGGAACAACTTGTACCAGCAGTGTCCACACAGATCCTTTCTAGCACTGCACACTATCCACATTTTTCTGGCTAGCTAAGTGCTTTCTTTGGTTTATTGATTCAGTAGCCAGTTTCCTTTTAAGCAGCAGCTGAAGAAGAATGTGAGAATTTCACTTCAGCAGAATGCCATTTCCAGAGCTGTGCACTGAAAATAAGACTGGCATGGGTCATGGTATATTGTGCATGCTGAAACAAAAATGGTAATTGAAAGCACAGTTTTGGTGATACTAGGTTGTATGTGACATTATATTTGTCAGTTAAATTACTACTAATGAGGACTAACTCAGATGGAATATTAAACAAGTTCTGCAAGAGCTGTGACTAACGTGAACAGGTCTGCTGAAAAAGACTTGAACAGACCAAAAAAGAACAGAGATGAACCTTTTGAATCCAACTTCTTTGTAGGAGCCTAAAGTATTCTATTTGTTTACCTCTTTAATAACATCCAATAAACAGCCTCCTATCCAACTTTAGAGAAGCAATGATCCTGGCTCCACTGTTAGTAGCCATTAACATGCTTGACCAGTGATGTAGTTTTTGTTTGTGGTTAGTGGTCTTCTTTTCCTCCATTTTTCTTTCAACTTTTTGTATTTTTTCTCCTTTGTGCTCTGCAAAGATCACAGAGGAATCATTAGGCTCCTCTGTCAATAGTAAGGCAAGAAAACAGTCCTAACACTTGTCTGTGCTGATCAGTTAACTGTTGATAGACAACAGGAAGACTACCTTGTGCTTTCCAAAGTTCCCTCTATATTCTGCGCTTTCATTAGAAAATACTTTCTTTAGATGCTGTGCTCTGTCTATAAAAGAGTTGTTGATGCACACACCTGAGAGAGCGTGTGTACGCCATCGATCTACAGTAAGTGCTGACCTTCTAGTGCGTATCATTTTCAAAGTTACTAGAACTGAAATAGAGTGGGCACCTAAGAACACAGTTGCATTTAACCTCCATTGCCTTGAAGAAAAACACAAACACTACACTCTGCTTTACTGTTGGCAGTTCTACGAAGTTCCAGAGAAATAGTTATGGTTTGTGCTTACCAGGGTCCTAACTTAAATGCTAGCTATTTTTATTGCTGAGACTGACTTCAGACTGTGGTTTCATCCTGAGTTAAAATTGTGAAACAAATGTACTTAAATCTTGCTTTGCAAAGGAGGGGAAAAAACTCTCACTGTGCTGTAGGTATACTTTAATATCGCTGAATTGCACAGTAATTTGTTCTATTTTTTACACTGAAGCTTTAGTCTCCACTTGAAGTAACCCTTTGGTAGGTAAAGATAAAACATGGTTTATCTCAGCAGTAAGCATGGTTTACATGCTTACTGTTATGAATTTTAGCAATGAAGAATGTTTACTTCAGGCATCAAATATACTAAAGTAGTAATGTCATTGCTCTTCCACTATTAAGACTTGAGGGTTTTAAGTGTTTCAGCTAAGACAAATTAATACTCATCACAATAATTTCAGACACTGACTGGTTACTCACTACCCAGTGTTATGTATCACTAGTCCTTTTCTTACCCAGCTCCATCTCGTGTAATTTAGTCCTTTCCTTTGGGTTTGGCACACGGTAGTTTACACTAAGACTGTGAAGTTGTATAAGGCTGTTGCCCAGGAGGTTTCCCATGAAGAGTGCCATTATCTGACAGGAGATGTGTAGATACAGTTAAGTCAAAGATTTACTTGAGAATTTTTGCAGTTAGTAGAGATGGGACTAGAAGGACTAGAAAGACTAGAAGGAATATTAAGTCACCCTCCTCGTTTTCTTTCTAGACAGGTGCTGGTAATAACACCAACTCTTTGCTGTTTATGCATTTAATTCATAATATACCAGTGTTTGTTTACTTCTTAATGAGGATACAGATTTAAGAGAATTTCAGGTTGTTTTCACACATAAGGTTGTTTTACAAACACCAGGTGGCAGGTATGTCCAAAATATTCTCCAGTCCCAACAGCAGTTTAATTATTAGGATTTTGGAAGATCTGTAATATCTTTGGTTGATTTCATTTTCTTTGAGATTTGATCATCCGATAAGACAACTTGTATTTGCTTCTGTAGAGATGACCAAATTATCTCTTGCATGTTATGAAACTGTTTGGCAGCCTTGTCAACAAATCAAGTGTGATGTACCAGAAGCACAAAAAAAGTGTTTGTTTACAAATTTTGTTCATTTGTCAAGAAAAGCAGCTTTCAAAATGCAAATCTTAGGGGTTGTTTTTAGATTTGTTTGTTGTGTTTGTTTTTTTGTTTTTTCTTTTTCGGGCCAAGATTGCATGACAATAACATAACTTAGGCAGTCTACTGGACTGCATACTTTGCTTGCACTCAATTGCTTGTACTTCAATTGCAGGTCCAAAATGGCAAGATTTTCCACAAGTAAAAGAAATTAATCTTTTAAACTTAACGTTAATAAAGGCAATAAGCTTCTTTGACTAATTAATGCTTAATGAATACTATGAATGAAACTTTGGCTTCCAAGTGTGTTGAAACTTCTAATTTTCCTGAATATAGCAGGGCAGAACAGCTACAGTAAGGAAAAGAGAATTAGGATGGTAGAAAAGAATAGCAACAATGAAAGATTCCTGTTATATATGATATATTTGGCTGGGATTTATTTAACATTGATTTATGATATATTTATACTATTTCCATTTTAAAATATTTTAAGCTAGACCAGGAAATCATGCAAGTTTCTAGTGAAACAGTCTTGCCTATGCAATAGCCAGTAAACATCCAAAATTAAAATTTACATTTAGATTTTTGTAGGAAAACCCTCAAGAATGCCAGGTGATTAGGCCATAAAAAGAAGTCATTAGCATTGCAATATGCAGTATTTGTCCTACTACCCCCCTAATAATTACTACTTTGTAAGATGTTCATTTGTTAAAGGAGAGGCTGGCCCTTCCTAATCCCACAGTTGTTGGGAATTCTGTACTTTAGGACAGAAACAAATTTCACCTGATCTACTGGCTTCTGCTTTTCTAATACTTTCACCTGAAGTGTTCAACATCTTTTTTTCTTCAATGTCTTACTTCTGCAACGTCTGGCAGATTTCATGTTTTTTTCAGGCTACAAATCAGCTTTATTTCAAATAGCACATTTTATTTAACCTCTGATCTAGAATGTTTATAAAATGCATGGGTTTTATTTTAACAGGCTTTTAAGTTTCTCAGTGAAACATTCTGTTATCTTTCTTCTTAGGATCAAGAAACAGGACATATGACTAAGAAAGGTCTTCCTCACCCGCTGAATTAAGCAGACAGAATTGCACCTCAGTTTAAATTACTCCAAACAATAGATTGTAGAATCATTTCACAGTTAAATCATAGTTTCTAAGCTTGCATCTTTAAGCACTACCATGCTGGGTAAATATAAGTATTTAAAGTGGGTTAAACCAACAAGGTTTATGTCTCTCTGCATGTAACAAGAGTGACTACTTTTGGACTCAAAATTTGGAGAATGAATAGTGCTGCACCACTATATTGTTCCATGCACTAAGTCTGTTGAATGTAGCAGGACCTGCATGAGGCAACAATTAATCCAGGTAATTTTTGTTTTAATCACTGTCCTGATTAAAGTGATAACTGTGTCCCACCTAAAGCTCCATTCAGGTCCTAAGCCACCTGAACTCTGAGTAGGTGATAAGGAGAATGTTGAGAAGTTAGGTTTGAGGAGCTTGCATTTAACTTTTGGTGTTATTTCCTGGTTTCTGTATGGAAGTTTATGCAGTAGTTGAAGCATTTTCTTGGTAAGCTAAATATTCCCAAGGAAAACTAAACCTGCATCACACAGTTTTAGAAGTTCTTAACCATGAGATCATGAGAGTATTCCAGCGCTGCTGCCCACAGTGAGCTGTGACAGTCAGCTCTGCGACTTCTCTAGGACTGGATAGGGAACAGGTGAAGGAAAACTATAACCTCAGTTAGCGATTAGGGCATTGGAAAAAACAAATGGAGTGCTTTTTATCAAGCTGAATAAATTCACCATCTCAGAAAAGGGTTACATCCTTAGTAAATAAAATGTCTAAATTAGATGAAATTTTTCCCATTACCTTCAGAAGTTACACAACTTTTTAGTGATTGTAGAATAAATGTATATATTGGACAAATTAGAACTGATTTTTTTCCTTCTTGCTACAGGTTAAGCAGGATTAAACCAGACAGACTGAATTCCAGCACCCTACTACATAGTGTTTAAAGTGATCAAAGCATCCACTGCTTTGCAAAGCTTTGCAGTTGCTCTGAATCTTCCTTTTATAGTCCTTATCAGCAACAGCCAGGAGTTGCAGTGTTAGATGAGCATGGGCATTGCCCTGGATTATGACTAAACATTGTCGGCAATATCAGAGGGCAAAACTGATTTGATATGCACTCAACTGCCAGGCCTGCAGGTCACCATGCTCCTCTCAGGTAGTAGTTTTTAGTCTTGGAGCATCTCATCATTGATCAGTCTGCTAGTCCTGTGTCCTGATAGATTCATTCTACATTATTTAACAATCAGGAGTCTACAATTTCAAATAGCAAACACAGCCTAGATGAATTTAAAATAAACTGTGTTTTGAGTTTTGCATATTTTTTATCAATAAACAAGAAATGAGTCCTTGTGCATTTGCTGAGAATAGAGAAGATATATTTCTAAGACTGCAATTTCTTTCTAGTATCCTTTTCCCACTCCAGAATAAAAGGCAGAAACAAAGTAATTACTTTTTTTGAACAGGCTGGCACAGTATGAGTATTTTAAAATGGATATGCAGTAAAACTTTTCATGGATTCATTGTTTGAAAAGAGCTTCCTCATATTTTAATCTGATCTCATGTGGTACTAAATGCTTGCAAGTGCCCTGCCTCTGCATTTGGAGCTGGAAATGCTCAGTACTTCACTAAATAGACCTTACCTTCAATCCTTGTGAAGTGAGTGGGTTTCCATCAGACCTCTGGTGAATGAAGAAACCACATTTTAATAGTTGAAGGGTCACTTAGTAATGTTTTATATTTCTTGATAGTTAAGACTTTACAGCATTTCTTTACAGGTATTAAGCTAAGGCTTTTGGACATCTGAAAATATCCTATGCATAAATTTAAACAAACCCCTTCTTCAATTTGTCACCTAGCCATTGCTACTGCATGCCCTCTTGTTGACTTTGCAGTAAAATTATTTTCTTGTTGCACATTTTGTACATTTGCCCAAAGATTTGCCCTTCATAAGTTCCATCACTCTCCTCAGTTCTATGCTACAGCTCCTTCAGCACTCAAAAAAGACTAGAGAGAAATGATCTGTAAGACATAAAGCAACTTATAACTTTTTTCTGCTGCTGTTATTTCCTGAGCTTTATTTGACACTGATGCTGTAGAGTGCAAACTTCAGTCTTACCTAAATCTAGAGACAGTTTGTGTGACAACTCTGAATATATTTTGTGATAATCTAACAGCTGTCCACATTCAAGCATGTTGAACTTGGTTAGTGGCCAATATATACCCATGTGACTTCTCTGTGGTCTTGTGTAAAAATAACCCAAAAAACCAAAACCCCATGGCTGAACCTCTATCATAGTGTCCCTCATACAAAAAAAAAATTTGCTGTATCTACTGTATTTTAATAATAATAACAACATTTTGTAAATGCCATCTAATGCTAAATCATTGATGTTTTGCATCAGATGCTTGTTACCATTACAGCTTTGGTTGGAATTTCTGTCTAAAAAACCCCACTACCACATAAATCAACTCAGGTACTTGGGTTCATTCTGATCTCTTTACTGCTCCATAGTCATACTTGTTTTTTTGAGAACTGACTGTGGTTTACTCTACTTGGATTAGAATTGCATCCAAAGTAACTTCAGTAAAGACACTTTGTAATTGTGAAGCAGAACTGGATTTGAAATAACATTCTCATGATCAAAGATTCCAAGAAGCTTTTGTAGTAATTGGAGAATAACAACTATATAAAATGTGTTTGCTTCTCATATTTAAATGAAGCATAAAGATAAAATGCATGAGGCATATTAAATGAACACACAGATACTTAATCTGATAAGACCAAAGCAATTGAGTGGGATTTTAATTTAGGCATTTGACTAACTTTGTAAAAAAAAAAAAAAGTTTTTGAAGTAATGCTGGCTTTGTTCCATAATATCTGAGAGGTTCACTCAGTTGTGGATTGCTCCACTGGGCTATTCCCTTCCCTGACGATATATTATTATTTATATTGTATCCTGAGAATACTGCACATGTAAAATGCACAGGCAGAGTTCCAGGCCTGAAGGCCTGCAATCTGAACAGGCAATATAGGATGGGTGGTATAATAAATTGCAGTTCTTTACTTCCACTGTAAGCAATGTCTTTCAGCTCCAAAATTATAGCCTTCATCCACTTTGATTTGAAGAAGTACTCAGTACAGTTCTCATCCTGTGGCAACACAACTCATTCAGACTATAGCGGATAAGCGAAACAACTGCTGTCTATGGGTTTCACCATCTTTAACAAACTAGACTAATTTAAAAAAATTAGTATTCCAGGAAGTACTTGCAATGGTTCTTATGATTTTGAAAAAGGAGAGTTGGAAATAAGACTTGAGCATAATTTTTCTGAAAATCTCCCATTAGCAGCAAAAAGGCTTTGATGTGAGGTATGGAGTGGGTATGCAGTTGTTTGGTACAGAACTAAGTAGCCTTAGGAAGAAAGCTTAAGAATAAAATCTCTAAGCATCTTGCTTCATTACTTTGAGAAAATAGGCCTGTAGCTGCCATTTTTGAATGCAGAACAAAACCCCCAAATACTTCAGGCTGCTTCACAGAAGTTTGCACTGACAAGTGGGTCTTATTTAAGACCAGGATACCCAGCCTGCCCTGAGCTCTGACACAAACAACAACTATTTGAACATCTCAGGAAAGGCCAAGACTACGACAGAGAGAAGGAAAAAAACATCAATCATCTATGGTCCACAGTTACCAGTTTGGTTCTTCTGCCATAATGAAGCTCTTTGCCATGAGGAGACTGAAGCTTTCTTAGCAGTGGAATGAACTTCCCCAAGTCAGACTCATAAACTTCAGCGTTTCTCACTTCACCTTGAAGGTCTGTTTCGTTGGGTTTCTTTAGTGTAAACACAAGCCATTTTTTTAAAATGCTTCATTAAAGCAAAAACTGTCTTGTCATCTTTCCCTCATCCTGCTAAGAAGCAATATGGAATAACAAATGCATTTGAGACAAATCTCTCTCTATAATAGAGTTAGATAGTCCTACTTGAATCAAACTGCTTTGGGAAAAATTCTATGAGCAGCACTTCCTTGGTCTCCATCCTTCAGACTCTTCCCCATACTTGTTTCTGTGTGAGGGAATAATGTTGATATATATTTTGATTTTGTCTCTAAATTGGCTTAAAATATATGCTATTATATGCTACTGAAGGGAAATCTAATTATTTCTGCTTAAAATAATTGTTGCTTAAAACACAAAAAATCTGCTTTTATTTCCCTTGTTTCAAACAATTATGTAGTTTGCTTCTACTGGCTTTATGTGTGAATTCAGGCAGTCCTGAAAGTGAGAAATAATATACTGGATGCAAAATGAGGCAGTGTAAAAGCAGCTTTACATTCTATTACCAATAATTCTGCTTTGCCATATTTCATCTTTTCTTCTTCTATGCCTCTTCTGAGAGAACATGCCCAAAGTTATCTCACAGACTTGTGTTGGCTGTCTCAGCTGTAACTTCAAAAGTTATTTTTTCAAGGGTTGGAGTGCTTGCTCATTTTGGATGGCCTGTTACCCTCACTTGGTGGTTTCTGCCCACATGGTAATAAAGTTCTTGCTTTCCTGAAGAAGTCCATTCCTTATATACTGGGGAAAAAAACCCCAAAACCTGGCATTTATGCTTTTCTTCCCTTAAAACGCCAGGTTATGATCAGTACTTCAGCAGCAGCTTCATAAACTGAGCCTTCCCCCAAGCAACAGTGAGACCCTTCAAGAAGAGGGTAGATGGTATCTTTCGCAGTCCTTCCTTCAATTTTCATCTGTCTGTATAAATCACAATGCTCAGTTATCCACTCATTTCCAGATGTGATTTTGGAGTACGAGGGACAAAGGCATACGAACGAAGGAGAGCAAAGCCTGCTCTACCAGTGTTCAGAACAGCTGATCTTGCACTTTCTTTGACCACTACTTTCACTAACAAACTATGATTAAGAGGCAGAAGAGTAATCCTGCCAGTGTGAGCTTGGGTTCCCTCTGCAGATTTACTGATGAGTAGGCAGAGTTGTTTTGGAAGACAGAGAGTGTGTTTTACTGTTTTTCAACATGACAATTTGACTTCTTCAGAGAAGCTTTCATTTCTTGCATGAAGTAATATATCCACCCCACAGAAACTGCACAACATCACCTGAGTCCAATTTATTTCACTATTTACACCGAAGTTAATATGAAGTAATGTATTTTATCTTTTCTACTCTAGATAGGAAAACCACTGGATTAAAACAAACACCATTATATCTGATTTTGCTAAATCAGGTCTATCACTGGTAGGGGAAAAATCCAGGTTGCAATTTTAAATGTTCCTTTAAACATTCTTCCTGATCATACCCAAAGGCAATTTTCTGGAAAAAGACAGGGTATCACTCTCATTGCACAGTAACTCTGTGTAAGAGAAAGGAGTTTCAGAAAGGCAGAGGTAACACTGGTATGTAATGTAGATTAGAATTTGACATTGAAAACCATTTCCCAAAGACAATTCATTTATTCTGCCAACTACAGTGTCCCTTAGTTATGCAAATGACCAAGTAGAGCAGCAATTATCTGCCTGTGATGGATGCAAGCTTTTCCACTACTGCTAACTTACATTTTTGAGAAGGTACCTGCTGCGCCTGTAGGCACCAGGTCTCCTCAGAGTCATTTTAATAATCTTTGTGCATGAAAAAGAAGTTTATTTAAATGTAGTCCTGGAACCTGGAATGATTAATTCATCCATTCATGAAAAGCATTCTGTAAGCTGATGGCAAAATACGTACAGGAACAGCCGTTCTAGTAAAAGTTTACATCGATTTGCTATTTTTCTTCCCTCAGTGTCTCAGATCTTATATGTTGCCATGCTATCACCAGACTTTCTGCTGCCGCCATGCTTTTCCTGACTGGAAACCACAGCAGGACATATTCTTGCAAGAATGCAGCCCCAAGGAAAAAGTAGTGTTATTTTTAACATTTTCTCTCTAGTAGTCACCATTCATCACTTACAACATATACTGTGAAAAGACTGAGAAAACCATTGATTGATTTAAATCCGCCTTAATTTTTGACTAAAGGCAAAAACTTCACACACTGGTGCTTAATCATACTTCGCATCATGTACAAGCATGCAGTTTTCCATACAAATTCCATAAGGTGTTTAATCTGCTATTGCAAAAATACTTATTTGCATACAATCACACCCTGCTGTGGTTTTAAATGTTTTCTGAGAATACATTTTGAAACTATTATCTTAACCTCACTGCCTTTCTACCCACATACAGACTAACAGACATGCAAACCCTTTAATTTTTATTCAGGCCTGACTGTAATTAAGTTGAAGTGCATTTGTTCTTTAAAACTATAGGACTCAGCTTATTCCATAAGTATTGCTGGTGAATACACTTTTGTTAAGTTGCTGGGCTATAGGCAGGGTCTTCAGCTTACAAATAAAAGTTCTTATTACAGGAGAAAACAGTGATGGGCAGTTATGGGTGTTTCTGTTTGTTCATGCCATGCGTGCCAGATGTTGAACAGAAGCACAAACAACACTATCTTATCTTTCAAAAATCTTAACCCAAGTACTAAGAAGCACCGACCCTAGTTAGAGACATCAGGGTGAAGAATATCTTATCACTGACTTTCTTGTTGCAGACAGGTTTGATACAGATGCAGAGAATACGTACCTGCACAATCACATCATGTGACATGGCAGCACATGCTATACTAGGTATACTCTTCCCCATCATTCACCATCTGACGAATGAATTATATGTCATTTGTTTAAAGAAGACATTGGAAGTAATAAACGCAAAAACTGTAAGCATGGATGACAGTACCATTTACTGACTCCTGCTATAGCTGCACCCTGACAACTCCTCTTCTTGACATATTTTTACAAAATATGTTAATGACTACTGTCAAACCACTGGACAGAAAATACCATAGCTGACTCTTGCTTGCTTTATGCCAAATCCAAAGTGTCTTTATCCCCACTATGTTCTTGCATTGAGTTTTAATATGTAATAGTTAACACAGACCAAATATATTCCACTTCTGTCATCAATATGCCATATGAAATAATGTACAGTTGGGGCACAAGCATGTGGTAAGAACCCACCTTAAGAAGCCAGAAACATGTGGGTTGCAATGGGCCTCAGGAAGACACCTAGGACAGCCTACGGCTCAAAGTGGGGCCAGTCAGTGCAGATTGCTCAGGACCATGTCTAGTCAAGCTTAGAGTATCTCCCTGGAAGGAGGGAGCACCTCTTTGGGCAACTTCTTACAATATTTGACTACCTTCACGATAGAAAGAAAGACAGAAGGAGAGAGAGAGAGAGACTGAAAGAAAGCAATTTCTGTACCTAAGCAGAATTTATCATGTTTTAACATTTGTCCATTCCCTCTCAGCCTGTCACTGTGCACCTCTAAGAAGAATCTGGCTTGGTTTTCCATGCAAACAACAGCAGTAAGGTCTTCCCTTATCCACCTCCTTGAGGCTGAACAATATCAGTTCTCTCTGTCTTCTCCAATACACCATTTTTCCAGAACCCTGACCGTCTTGGTGTCTCTCTCCTATACTAGCTGCAAAATGGCCATACTGTATCAGACTACACAAGTATCTCTAACTCACTTTTGAATGTAATGACCAGGACTAAAGAGTCAGGAAGAGAGTATAAAGAACAGGTTGGGTATAGAGCAATCCTTCTCGATATATATTCACTTTGCAGTAAATCATTGACTAGGGAAAAGTAGAACCAAAGGCCACTGTATTCCATTCAACTTACTAGCTGCCAATACACTGCTTCCCTTTTGAGTTTATTTCCTTTTTGAAAGTAATTGACAGTTTTAGCTTCCACAATTCTGGAAGCAGTGAGCTTCAGTTTTGCAACATCTGAAAAAAAAGACTACTTTTTGGTTGTTTTAAACCTACTCTCCGTTATTTCTCTTGTATGCCCACTTAACTGGAAAAAGTGAATGAGAGCTCCTTACTTTCCCTCCATAAGACACCATTTTATACAATTCAATCATCTTCCCTCAGTTGCCCAAGCATTGTCACTTTTTTCTTTTTCAAACTGAAAAGTCCAAGTCTTGGTAGTCATGTTTTAAACAGAAGCAATTCTCTATGTTTTTTATTCTTTTCTACCTTTACCTTCTTTCTGACCTGGAAAAACAGAGCTTAACACTATTCTCTAGATGTGGCCATACCACCAGTATACACAAAGCTGTCACAACATTTTCTGCTCCATTCTGTCTTTCTTTTTTAATAATTCCTGGTGGTTTTGAGTTGGAACTGAATTACCTATAGAGACTCTAAGAATTCATTCCTCAGCAATAACAGCATACACAGAACTTACCACTAGGCACATATAATTAAGATTGATCTTGCCTGTATCCATTACTTCACGGTTATTGAGACTGAATTTCCACTTCTAGTTTAACACCCATGCTGTTCAGCACAACAAGATCCTTTTGAAACTCTTTGCTGTCATAGGGCACTACTGCACAGAATTTTGCATCAGCAGCAAACTGTGCTGCTTTCTTTACTCAGTCTCTTTCCAAGACCGTTTCTGAGTATGCTAACTAGTGCAGGTCCCAGCATGAATCCCTGCGGGAGTCCAATCTAACTCTCCCACAGTGTAAAAAATGAGTATTTATTGCTATCCGCTTAACCCTTCTCTTTCAGCTAGTTACTAATTCATGAGACACGCTTCCTCCCTAACCTATGACAGTTAATGTTATTTAGCAGTACTGTCAAGGGACTGTGCCAAAGGCTCTTTTGAAATCACTACAATGAATGTATCACCCTGGTTTATCAATTTGTTGATTTCAGCAAAGAACTTCATAATTATGACAAAGCTTCTCTATCTACAAAAATCCATATTGATTTTTCCGCAGTCTGATGTATTTGTCTGTATGCTGAAGCCTCACCCCCGCTCTGTCACTGATTTGCTTGTGTAACCTGAAACAAGTCTCTCACCAAAAAGAGGACTCAGATGCGGAAAATGAACACTTGTGAGCCTTCAATCCAAAATTACTGTCTTAAAAATTCTCATGCAGTTGCTTTCCAGCTATGGAGCTGCCTACATTCCACAAATTCTTATTTCAGTA